CAGTTGAAAAACGCATGGCAGACCAGAAGATTCAGCAGCATCAATCTCAACTGCAGGAAGTAAATGCAAAATTAAAAAAGGCACAGGATGAGCTCCACAAGAAAACTGTTGATGAACAGTTAGCTCAGAAAAAGCTTATTTTATACCAAGAAGAATCCACAAAGTACAAGAACACAGTAGAGGAATTCAGGATGAAGTTAGAAAAAACAGTGGAGTCTAACTTAAGCACTGAAAATCAGTATTCAAACTTAAGGCTTGAAGTTGTTTCATTGAAGCAAGAAAAAGCAATGCTGGAAGAAAAAATTAAACTGATGAAGGTGGAATTTTCTGAAGTAAAGGAGAGATTACAGAGATCTCAGGATCAAATGAATATTGAGAAAAAAGCAGCACTAGACCATGCACAGAAATGCAGAAAATTAGAGGAAGAATTTGAGAGTCAGAAGAGAACAGTTGAAGGCCTTAAACAAAAAATTGACCTGCAAAGACAAGACCATATTAATCAACTGAGATACCTGCAGAATGAAATTCAGCAAAATAGCAGCCTTAGAAGCCCCCTTCAGAAAAGTGATTACGACATGAAGGGAAACAGCTTTGCCTATTCTTCCAGTTCTCAACAGGATTTTGACATACTTAACCAAAGAGCTAAATCTTCGCCTGTGTTGAGACGAAAACTAGATGGCCATCTTGAAGTCACATCTCCTGTTTATAACTCTACCCTCATAGAAGAAAAGAAAAAGCATGTGGATGGTTATGATGAAACTGTGCAGAAGGAACTTCAACTACAGCTCTCTAGGATAAAACAGTCTCTTGACAGTGGAGAAAAGGCACAGCCATTTACTGAGTATGTTACCCAGACCAGCACAGAGCTTCAAATATCTATTGACAACATGAATCCCTACAGACAGCTTTCAGAGCTAGAGACTATAAAGGATAAAAGCATACAGAATGCCATTCAGACCTTAAGAATTGAAGAGGAGAAAATCGGAAAGGAGCTAGGAAAATATGATCAATCTATGGAGGTATTCAACCTGTATCCTGCCTACGTTTATGCTACCTGAATATAATTTTTAGGACTTATTTGCTTACTTCTTTTTCTTTTTTTTTTTTTTGTGAAAAGTACTGTTTGCTTTTAAGACAAGTACTTTCCATATTATGTATGGAGGCAAGTTTTGGAGTTAGTTTTATGTGAAAGCTTACTGCATGCTTTTGTAACTTAGTGCATGGCTTAGGGATCTTAGCTGGATGTTGGTATCTTACCTTATGTGAACTAATTGTACGTAATCTGTTTTGCTCATTTCCTTCTGCTATTGCCATAGATAACTGTGTGTATACTGACGCAAGACCTAGGCATAATCCCTAATCATCCTTCCTTTATTTTAAATATTGCTATTTGCAGATAGTGAAGAGCAAGCAGTATGATTTGACTGTTGAAGTTACAACTGTAAAGCAGGAAAAAGAATTCTTGGTAAACAATGAAGATCAGGTGTTTGAAGAACGTAATATTTTGGAAGGATTTAGGAGATCAGATTTACCGAAGATGGGTTATATGTCCTCCAGTTATAAAAGCTATGCAGGCTCTGAGACATCTCTGAGTGACAGTTCTTCCACCGATGATAGGTTCATCTTCCAAGGGCTCAGAAAAAATGTGTCTGCCAAACAAATGGTAGAAGCTAGAATTCTCGATGGCAAAACCATGGAACAGCTTGAGTCAGGTCGTACGACCATTCAGGAAGTTCAGAAAGCACTCGACACATATTTAACAAAAGCTACTGCAATAGCAGGTTTATACCTTGAAGCAAGTAGAGAAAAAATATCTTTCAGTTTAGCTGCAAAGAAAGGAATTATTGATAAAGGTTTGGCATTTGAGTTTTTGGAAGCGCAAGCAGTGACAGGTTTTATCATTGATCCTTCTACAGGCAAAAAATATTCTGTTGAGGAGGCCATCACCAGTGGATTTGCTGACCAAGAATTTAAAGAGAAGCTCCTTGAAGCTGAAAAAGCAGTCGTAGGATACATTCACTCGGGCAAAAGACTATCCGTTTTCCAGGCCATTGAGGCTAGGCTCCTTGAAAGACAGAAAGGGAAAAGAATTCTTGAAGCTCAAATTACCACTGGAGGTGTCATTGATCCCATTAGAAGTGTACGAATTCCAGCTGAAGTGGCAGTTTTGAAGGGTTTGTTGAATCATACAACCTTAAAGTTTTTGCATGAACCAGCAAGTAATGTGAAGGGCTTTCACTTTCCCACTAACAAACAGAGTATGTATTATTCCGAATTGTTGCAGCTATGTGTTCTAGATTTAGATAGTCAAACATTCCTTTTACCAATTGGTGAGAGAAACATTACCGCCTTTTCTGCAGAAAAGGGCCATAAAATATGCATAGTAGATACTCGATCTCGTTTTGAGTTGACACGACTTGAGGCATATGAAAAAGGACTCATTGACCAAAAGTCCTATCTTGAGCTTTCAAAGTATGAGTGCCAGTGGGAAACTGCTACAGTTTTTGATTCCCAGGGTAAATCACAAACACATCTAATTGATCGGAAGACAGGAAGACAGTTTAGTTTGGAGGAAACTGTCAGCCAAGGGAAAATTGACAGGTCACAAATTAGCAAGATTAAGGAAGGACAGATTTCTGCCACTGAGTTAGCTGACATTTTAGTAAGCAGAACAAGGCCAGCTAAAGATCCCAATAGTCCTGTAGCAGGATTTTGGATCCTAGAAACCAGTGAAAGAGTCTCTGCATTTAAAGCACTGAAAAGAAACATGGTAGACAGGGTAACGGTGTTTCGATGCCTTGAAGCTCAGGCCAGCACTGGTGGAATCCTTGATCCTTCTAATGGCAAAAAGCATAGTGTCTCAGAAGCATTACAGAAAGGCTTAATTGATGAGGTTTGTGCCAAACAAATCCACCAATTTGAATTAGCTTACACTGGTGTCATTCAGCATTCAACTAAAGCACTTCTGTCTGCCTTTGAAGCCATGAACTTGACCCTCCTAAACAAAGAAATTGGTTATCGAAGCCTCGAGTATCAGTACCTAACAGGAGGATTAATAGATCCTAAATCTCACTCACGCTTGTCATTAGAAGACGCCATCAGAAAAGGAATAGTGGATGCTGCCACAGCAACAAAGCTTAAGGATGAAAAGTCATATGTAAAAAATCTTACTTGTCCTAAATCAAGGAGGAAGATATCTTACAAAGATGCTCTGGAAATGTCAGTCTATGACTGCCATACTGGATTTCGCTTGATGAAAGCACCTCTGCCTGTGAATGTTGGAATTCCTAGCCTATATTTTTCCTCACAATAGTGCCAATGACTTTGCATACTATGGGACATTTGTATAAGTGCTCTATTGAACAGGCAGAAAATAGTAAATTGAAAAAATAATGGACTACCACCATGAAGTAGAACAGCAATGTGAGAGATGCCGTTTTGTGATATTGTTGCCAAGGATGTTAATTTTTTAAATATTTGCTTGAGTTGAATTGGAACTTCAATACAACATGCTTGTAGTAGAGTATGTATAATTCTTAGGTTATTGTGTGTCACATTGTTAAATATAAGCTTGTGATGTCCCTCAATTTATAGTGACCCTTTTCAGCTTAAACTATATGATATAATACAGGTTTCCAGTGTTATAGATAATGGATTGGAGATCACTGAATAGCAGTGGCAGTATTAATAAAAAGTATATGACACTGCCAAGAAGCATATACAGTAAACTCTACTTAAGTTTGTTTTTCATAATAAGATTGCAATGTTCCATGTGTTTAAATACTTGGTTTCTCACATTCTACATTTTGTATCACATAACACACTCCCCAACTCGTGTCACATAAGTGTAGAATAGAGCAGCCTTTATCAGTGGGCTGAATCTTTATATATGTGATATTTTGTATTTAATTTCCCTCCACAATGCACTGTAAATAATGTAAGCATTGTTAGAATTGCAGTATTACTGTAATAATTTGACATACTGTACCTATTGCTAGGTACCATGCTAGCTATATGTTGAAGTAGTATCCTTTTAACAAGTTGTGTATTGAAATTGCAACATTATACCTGTACCACATTGAACTAAATAGCATACATGTGTTCTCGTTTTGTAACAAGCCTCATCAAAGGATGGAACAGAAGACAGGCATATCACGTCGGTTAAAACTTCAGCACATGAGGAAATGTATTAAATATATTTGAATGCATTTGTAAGTTTTACAGAAAAGCAGTTGTATGTGAACTGAGGGATAATGCAAGTGTTTAAGAATACAGGCTACATAGTCTTTGTACCGAGATGCAAATGTTACAGTACTTGTTTTTTTAATGGTCAAGCATATGTTATGTTGGTCAAGCTAATGCAAAGGCAGCAGGTCTGAAAGGTGCTATTGTTGAAAGTGATGGTGTTTTTTATTACATGATGTCTTCTTTCTTCCTTCCTAAAAAATATTTAACATTGGGGTCCTTTCATCCATCATGAAAAGAAACCTTTCCATATTATTTTTAAATTGCTGTCAAATCTATTCAAGGAATAGTGAAGACATGCTCCTACCTAATTATGTACAGTATAATGAATATAAAGATATACATTAGGCCTCTATAATGTTTGACATAAACATTAGGTTGGAAATTGTAACCTCGTTTGAGCTTCTTATTATCATTTTACCTTCAAGCAATATTTTGGTGATTTGGTGAATATTGATATCCTAATTTGTTTGTGACTTTACACATGAGGTTGCCCCAACATGATATGGCTGAATAGACTCCATTGGTACTTTTCCTTTACCATTACTCTGTATGTATATCATGTTCAAGATAGTTAAGGGTGATTATATTTTAATCTCATATATTAGCATATTTCTTTTAGAATGTATATGTATATCAAAATGAATATTATATCAAAACATTCTATATGAGTATTTTTTGTGTACACAGATAATTTTATTTTTGTTTTCCCACCTGTAATATTTGTGTTTTTTGCATCATGTACATATTGTTAGAAGTTACTGGAAGAGGAAAAGAAAGAGCATGTAAAGAAGGCAGGGGATATACTGAACTGGGTGTCCAAAATCAATAAAACACTAAGTAAAGAAGGAGGAAGTCAAGACACTGCAGAAAAAAATCAATTTTCTGAGAAACAGGTATTGGAAAATCATGTGCAGCATCCAGAGTTAAAAAGTCTTCAATATTTTATTTCATATTGCTTCATGTAATAAAAAAATACATAATTATACTGTTTTCAACCCAGGCAAAAACCAATTAAATAAACAATTTAAAAATACACACAAATGAAAGGAGGCACCCAAGGAGTATCAGTATGTAGTATGTGGGATTTGTGGTCCTTAACTATATGATTGCTAAGGTATTCTGCAAGAAAATTTGGTAAAATCTTGTATATTACAGCTTAGGATCTTTCAAAATCAAACAAAAATGAACCTAAAATACTCAGCTACTAATGTGGGTGTAGTACTGACAAAATTGTCATTTAGTAGCTCTTCTGTTGAAATACATTTAATATTTTCCCAGCTTTCTTTCATAGGATTAACTTTGTCTTGCTTTTCAGAAAATTCTGTCATTTTTTTGTCTGTGAATTAATTTATTTGGAGTGGAAAATAATGTTTTCAGTTTTGCTACCTAAAAGTTAAGGTTACCTTTTTTGATGCATCATTTTGATCAGCTAAGAAGACACTCTTTGACTTCTTTGTCCCTTATGCAGCATATTACTTTGTCCCTTATGCTGCATATTATTATGCAACAAGTAAACTACTTTGTCTAGTCCATTTACTTCCTATACTTTAGTCTGAATCAAATTAATATACACAAATTAGTGAAAATAATTATGTGTGAAGCAAAACACTGGAAGCACACCTGATAAAACGGTCTCAGGTGTGTACGCAAAGACCAAGACATTCCAGTTTATGGATGAAGCTGATTAATATCTATAATAAAGTATTTTTAGGTATTGCTTTAGGAGTATGTTCATATATATATATATATATATATATTATATATATATATATATATATATGTGTATATATCATCAGCTTGTTGCCCATTGACAAGCTGCTGTTGTAATCAAACAAATGTGGAATTGTTTATTTCCTTTTAGTTAGGTATAGAGGTAAATACAGTCCTAACAAGTGTAAATTGTTCCATCTGAAACCTGCAATGTGAATATGAAACTGGACCTTTGCAAAACAGTTACACTTGCAGGAAACTGGACCTCGCTGGCAATATTATACATTCACCCAGCCCTGTATATCATTGCTGTAAGTAGTACTGACAGTGAGTGATACTGGAGTAGGGTAAAAAAAAAAAAGGCACGACAAAAACTACTTAACAAGAATTGCTAGCAGAAGAAAAAAGGACATACGTTATCAAGAGAGAAAATTGCATCACCTTCTACATTCAGAGGAAATTGATCCAGGATGAAAATGGTAACCATCATCCAAGTAAACAGTTTACAATATTCTGCACAAGAGGAAATGTGGTTTTGTCTTCTATTCCCTCAAGTGGCACAAGCCTCCACTTTTTTAGGTCACAAGTTATGACTTTTCCTACAAATAAAATATTATTTGCTGGTGCTAAGGAAAGACATTATTAGGAAAGTGTAAAAAATTTATTAATTTTAGGCAGGTCTTAAAAAAAAGGAATCAGCAAAGAGAGGAAAACCTACCTTGAAAGTCTATGTTCCTAATATATGAATGCAATCTCCACCCTTTAATATGTGCCAGAGGTCCTTTGTCAAAGCTACACATTTCAATAATTGAACAGGTAGCTTACCATAGGATTATTTATAATTTGGTGAAATAATTAAATGCTTTATAGATATTCCCTTTTCTACAGTGAAAACTCAGCTTTAAAAAGTGACAGAGATGTGACCTCCCTTACTGCTTTTGTACAGCTTGTTTAACTGCTTTCCCGCTGCCCTATAGCAGAAATACTGCTACAGGGTGGCAGGGGTGTACAAAAGCACATATATATGTGATTTTGCATTCCAGGTAGGGGGCGCACGTGAGCCACGTGCGTGCCCTACCCACGCTGCCATTGGCGGCCTTGGCTGTCTATCACCAGGTCGCGGCCGTTGATTCCCTGCTGGCACCCAGCAATTACATGTATCACAGATGTGGGAGAGACCTGTATGGAAATAATACAGATCTCTCCCCTGTCAGCTCCTGCACACTGCATTGTATGGCTCTTACAGTGTAAAGCACACACACAGCACATAGTGAAACAGCACACAGTTAACCTTTTGATCGCCCCAGATGTTAATCCCTTCCTGCTCAGTGTTATTAGTACAGTTAGTGAGTGCTTTTTATTAGCACTGATCACTATATTGGTGTCACTGGGGATGTCAGTGACAGTCAGCTCCCCCTACTGTCAGAATGCCCGCCACAGTCCCGTAGTCCCGCTATAAGTCGCTGATCATCGCCATTACTAGTATAAAAAAATAAATAAATACAAAATTCCAGTATATATACCACCGTTTGTAGAAGCTATAACTGTCACGTAAACCAATTAATTTACACATATTGGGATTTTTTTTTAGCAAAGACGTATACATTTTAGCCTAAATTTATGACGAAATTTGATTTTTTTACATTTTTTTCTGGACATGTTTAATAGCAAAAAGTCAAAAATATTGTTTTTCTCAAAATTGTCTGTCTTTTTTTTTATAACGCAAAAAATAAAAAACCGCATAGGCAATAAAATACCACTAAAAGAAAGCTCTATTTGTGGGGAAAAAGGACATAAATTTTATTTGAGTGTAGCGTTGCATGACCGTGCAATTGTCAGTTATAGTAACGCAGCGCCGTATCGCAAAAAATGGTCTGGTCAGGAAGGTAAGACAGTTGCATTCGTAATAAAAAAATATAGCTGTGAAAAAGATCCCTTGTTTCAGGTGAGGACATAGATCCTTAGGTTTAGGGGGCAAACACAACTAACTGGTCTTTAATGGGAGGAACAGATATCAGTGGTCTTAGTAAAGTGTACAATGCAAAGTGTCATGGTGAAAAGTGGGAGTTCCTAAAGGACATGGTTTTTAGTGACACATCTTTAAAAATTCCACCATCAGCTTTCTTTGTGGCACTCAGCATTTGCTTACAAGACATCACAAAGCTGCAAAAGAAGTCTATTGTAACTGCAAACCTTTCATCTGCCAGGTACTGTGATTGCAGCCTAAAATATCTTATTAATGCTTTCCTGGGGCAGAGAAATGGCCCACTGCCCCTCAAACATACCTCATTGGACTTTTGCAGGGAAGAGAAAGGATGGCCCCTTCCCCTTTCCTCAAGCAAAGTACTCCATGCCTTATTTTATATTAAAAATTATACAAAACAACCAGTATGCCAAAATTTAGATCCAGATGTACAGTTTAACCACTTGCCTACTGGGCACTTGTACCCCCTTCCTGCCCAGGCCAATTTTCAGCTTTCAGTGCTGTCGCACTTTGAATGATAATTGCGCGGTCATGCAACATTGTACTCATATGAAATGTTTATCATTTTTTGAGACAGATAGACCTTTCTTTTGGTGGTATTTAATCACCTCTGGGTTTTTATTTTTTTGCTAAACAAACCAAAAACAACTGAACATTTTGGAACCAAAAAAAAGTTTTTTCTTAGTTTCTGTTATAAAATTTTGTAAATAAGTGATTTTTCTCCTTTACTGATGTGCGCTAATGAGGCTGCAGTGTTGGGCACTGATAGGCTGCACTGATGGGCACTGATAGGCGGCACTGATGAGGCACTGGTAGGTGGCACTGATGGGCATTGACAGGCATCACTGATGGGCACTGAAAGGCAGCACTGACTGGCACTGTTAGGTGGCACTGACTGGCATTGTTTGTTAGGCAACACTGATAGGTGGCACTGACGGGCACTGATAGGCAGCACTGACGTGCACTGATAGGCAGCACTGATGCGCACTGATAGGCATTGGCACTTAAAGGTGGCACTGACTGGCACTGATAGGTGGCACTGACTGGCACTGGTAGGTGGCACTGAAAGGCAGCTCAGATGGGCACTGATATGTGTCATTGATGTGCACTGGTAGGCACTGATATGTGACATTGATGTGGCACTGATGGCACTGATAGGTGGCATTGATGGACACTGACAGGTGACACTGATGGGGCTACACTGATCATCAGTGCCCTGATGATCAGTGTACATGTCCCCTCTGAGTAATGCCGATTACTGGCTCTCTTCTCCTCACAAGCTGTCAGCGTGACAGCTTGTGCGGAGAGAAATGCCGATGACCGGCATTTCCTTATTTACATGCAATCAGCTGGGATTGGACACAGCTGATCACATCACAGGGCTAACGTCATTGGCTCTTTCTGTTGATCGGTTATCCGCTGTGTCCCAGGGACACAGCGCACCACTAATCGCCGCGCTGCGTGCCCCGGGGGGTGTGCACGCGTGGTTAAGGTGGGAGGACGTCATATGACATCCTCCCAGAACGAGAGAACCTTTTTGCGCCCCTCATTTCCTTATATGGCGGGTGGGAGGCGGTTAAATAAAGTTCCATATCAGAAAGCATCAAAACACCCACATTCTTCATCTTTATCAAGGTGACAGCAGTCTTCATATTTTTGCTGTTGTATTAAAAATCTAAATTTGTAGGTTAGCCACTAGGATATTTGTTAGTGCCTCAGAGCATTAATGGTTGACATGTCCACCTTTTATAGAGAGGGTATTGTTTTCAATTAGCTGGCTGACTCACAGACCTACTTTTGAGAATAAGCGGTAAACCATGGTGTAGCACAGCAAAGCAGAGCATGCATATATTGCCCTCATGTACAAATTATACACAAAAATGCACAAGCTGATCTAAAATAAATAAAAGAAGATACATTCATTTTGATATGTGTTAATTTTGGTAATTAGCTTTGTTTTGTATTAAGCTGCCATATAATGCTGAGTTCAGGCACCTAATGTACACCTCCCTCAGGAGAGCACAGGAAAAACTGGAAGCTCTTGAACAGGGGCAGCATACAAGGCCAAGGTGCTCCTTCTTCTACCACATCTGTTCACTATATGAGTGGGTAGTGATCACATGGGAAGGTGGCTTCATTTCATACATACATTTCATACAAGTTTGCTATACATTACCTTAACATTTCCTGGGCTTACAAGTACTATATGTTAGGAAACTCAAAAATGCAGAAACAAAAAAAAATAGAATTAATGCCTTCCTCTATAAAATCTATCCATTTGTCTAATTAAAAGGAAAAAGTTAAGTTGAAGTGTCATAAGTGGCATAAAAACTATGTAATGGAGCTGAGGAAAAGGAGAAGTGTTTGTAGTCCTAACACTGAATCCGGCCATAGATTGTTCGAATCTCAATTGGTTCAGCAGGAACTGGCTGACATTCAAACCATCTACGGGCAGGCTGATTATACCCAGTTCGTTTGTTCTATGACTTGGGTACAACCAGCATGTCAGATTTTTACATGTGTTTATTGCCAATGGCTATAGCTTGAAATAATCACTGCATTCTCCCAGCAGGGGCAGCTGCCTGTGCCCCCCAATGGGAGAACACAATAGCTCAGCGGAAGGGAATTCCCAAATCAACACTGTGTTGATGGGGTAATCGAGCGATTTTGTTTTGTCTATGACCTTCCTTAGGGTGACAAAGCTGCTCCTGTATAAATATAGTACAGTGAGTGAGCATTGTAAACTTAGGACAGGATGTGTGTAATAGACAGGATTACCAAATGAAAAGAATGGAAAAAAGCCTGAAAATGCAGCCATCATATTTTAAGATTAGTAAGATTTACAGCAAGATAAATAAAGCAAAAAAAAGTTATAAAAAAGTTTTTTTCCATTACTCATAAGCTAAATGTTTTATAAATGCAAAAGAATGTAAAAGAAATTAAAATCATCCACTTTGATATGCCCAATGATTCTATCCCAAAGTAACTATAATATAGCAAAAAGGGTTTGTGCCATGAACATTCAGTGAAGAACTATAGCTTGATAGACATTAGATTGAGTTTTAATCTATCTAACTCTACAAAATAATAAGAAAATGTAAAATTTTGAACTGAAAGAGGGAAAGAAATATAGCATTTTCTGGCACAGCCCCTATATTTTCTGGTAACCTCTTGGCACCGAGAGTACACATATATGTGGCCTGTCCACAGGTGGGTATTGATGCCGAGAGGCTGCATATATGCATGCCAAAATAAAAAGCAGAACTGTGGTGAGAGCGCATACTGTGCGTGCTCCCGACACAGTATGCTGTGCCTAACGGAAAGCTCCCGATCGCTACTTGAGATTGGGAGCAATATGATCATGTGACCGCTGTGACAGTCACATGATCATAAACCCCACCTCACCTCCCAGCATCAAAAACCTCTTAAAGGACCAGGAGGTTCCTGGGTTTAGGGGTTAAAGTGTAAGTACAGCCCAAACTTTTCCTGGTTAGGATAGTAAAGGACTAGAACCTCCGAGGGGTTTAACTGCTATCTGGGACTCATTTAGAGGGATTGTCCTTCACCTTGTGTTGGTCAAAATTTTACTAGACAGAAAGTGAGGGAAAAATCTGCAGTACACAGCAATAAAAAGCCAAAGCACATTCCAGCCTTCCCCTGCACTAGAGATTTATCTCTGCTCATGTCTGGTGAAATAAGTGAATAACCCAAAGTTTAGCCAGCAGGATGCGCAGAGCAGGCTGACATGATACTTCATAGGTGCATATCTGTACTGTGCAGCATGTAGGAATCAAGCACATTTTTAACATGAATCGTGGACACTATAGTCATATCGTTATACTTTTTGCTTACTCTATACCTACATTATTGTTTATTTCCATGAATTTAATGTTGCATTGGAATTGTTGTCATACTATATGCTTATTGGCACTTTGTGTAACATGACAATTATTGTCTGTATTTTAAAAGTTTATTTCTTTTTCATTTTCTAGATTTCTTCTAAAGAAATTCTAACAAAGCAAGAAGAAGTGACAGATGCAATACAAACATTGCAATTACTTTTAGCCAAACACAGTGACAGGTATCTTAAAAAGGCATTTTCTCTAGTGGTTGGGAGATTTTAAAACTGTTATAATCTTTAGAATATCCTGTATACAGTAATATGTGTGTTTTATGGTGAAAACCTAGGTTCATGTTATTACGGGTGTGGGCATGAGTGTAAATTGCATGCATTCTTGCACCTGCACACAAAATGCGCTTCTCTGTGGAGAACACGCTGGAGTGTCATCAAGAATGAATGCAATTGAAAACGCAGCATATTTTTGGGTGCATGAAATTGCATGGTGCCACAGGACCATGCGGTTCCTGGCAGATAGCCTGCAGGTGAATTTGGGAAAAAGGGTTGGGGACCTTTTCCCTGCGTTTCCCACAGGTACAACGACCCATGCAAACGAATGGGCTGCTGTGCCCACACAAACATGGCATGCACCAATATCAGTGCAAACCTAGGCAAAGAACATGACTGCAGCACTGCAGTACTCTTTATTTAAAGCACCCTTGCAGATCCTATGGAAATGCTTTCTGATAGTCGGTATGTGGTCGGCTTGCCAAAACACCAACCCTTCCATACATGACATTTATTAGGCAAGGTTATAGATTTCTATATAGTTACCAAGCACTTCACTGTGGAACTTCCTAGAAGTTGGGGTGTTTCAGGGGGCTACAGCAGAGTTCACTTTATAGGTAACACTTTAAAGCAACACTTTTCTATTTTACAACTTTTTATCTGTTATTGTTTTATTAAATATCAAATATGCCATTGGAAATACAATGGTGAGGAACATCAGAGAATGGAGATTTAAAAGCAATAACACAGAAAAAGTGAGTTCTCTTTTTCAGACCAGAAACGTTGTACACATTGGGGTTGATTTACTAAAACTGTAGCGTGCAAGATCTGGTGCAGCTCTGCACATAAACCAATTAGCTTCCAGGTTTTTTTTTTGTTTATTTTTTATATTTAGGTTTAATTGACAAGCTGAAGTTAGAAGCTTATTGGCTACCATGCACAGCTGCACCAGATTTTGCACTCTCCAGTTTTAGTACATCAATTCCATTGCTCTAGAGAGATCAGAAACTGAAAAAATAAGACACATTCATTTTGTTCTTTCCTTTCTTTGTATTTCTCTTCATTTGCAAATCCGGTTGTGATCCGGACAGGCGACTGGGTCCTTGACCTTCTCTGCTGCCATAGCTTTCCCTGGCTAAAGTCACACCCCAGCTTGCTGTTGAGACAATAAATAAGCAGTACCAAAGTACAGAGATTTCACTCTGCTTACTTTTCTATCTCCTCACAAAAGCATGCTCCAGCCTGCTTTTGGGACAATAAATAAACAGTACCGAAGTTGAGAGATTAACATTTCTCTCTCCACACAAAAGCATATTCACTACCAACACATGTGCACTGCAGCAGAAGCTGAGTGCCACCTAGTGCTATCCCTCCCGATCTACGTTCTGCCCTATAGGGGAGTACAGGAAGCTACCATCAAGACAGTTTCACAAACCTACATGGTTTGCATTTAAAAATATATTCAGTTGTTTGTAATAAATAAATAGCTGCAATAAGGGGTGGTTATATATCTGCCTGGGGTTTAGCTTTTAAAATATTATAATAATTATTATTATATTATTATAATTATAATATTAACAAATGGAACTCAGATATTTCCTGAAACAGTATTTTCCAATAAAACTGAATTCTGGGGAAATAAGAAAACTACCATTGCAGTGGGGATCCTTCTTTTGCACATTTCTTAACCTACCAATCAGTCCTGACAGCTGACACTGAGAGATCTGGTTCTTCCTATGTGCTGAGTGCCACCATATACCGAAATAAAGATTTTCTTGGATCAGACATATTTCCCATATGCTTGATGAAAGGCTGCTTTCCATTGTGATGGCTTACTGCGTCGTAGCTAGTTGTAACTAATATTATTCCACTATCTTTTCTTATTTGTGGCTATGCAAAAAGAAACAATTCAACTAGGCTATTAATGGCTATCCTGTCTCTCTCCCCTCCTCTCTCTGCATGTTTTCTAAATGCGAAAAGGAGGCAGTGATATATTTTCTGAAAAATGCTTTGCTTTTTTCACTAGAATGACAGAAGAAGAAAGATCAGAGATTGAAACACAAATCAAAGCACTGCAGGAGTGCCAGAGTGTGCTATCTAGAGAGTACGAAAGGCAGCAACGGGAAGCCAAGGACTTGGTAGAGAAACTGGTAGAGCAGAAGGTGACATTGCTAGTCATTGCTAGTGTTTATTTTTTTTGTAGTGCATCAGTTTTGCAATATGTGTGGTTTTCTGCATGGATTTGGATTAATAAACCAAAGTACTGTTTTCTTTTTCTAATAATAAGGATCCTTTGTTTTTTGGGGGTATGTTGGTAGGTAAACTGCAGAACCAAGCTAATACTTGTTGAATATGCACATAAACATTACATCATTTCATGCTTTATGATCTACTGTGAAAAAGACTAGTAAAAGATCACCAGTGTGTGTTTTCTATAGGATTGGCAGTTGTGTAATCAATGATATCATCCTGATTTCGCTATTAACAACGTTTGATACATCAGGTGTGGTTTATACAGTATGCTGTAAACATGATGAGCATGGTTCGATGTGCAACTTCTTCTCTAACCCATCAAATTGCATGGTGATTTACTTTGCAGGTGATATGAAATCTACCTGTTGTCATCAACTGTTTTCACTAACCCCCACAGTGTCTTCTAAAGCTAATTTCTAGTTCACAGATGCATGCTGAGTTTAAAGCTTGTGTCACACTTGCTGTCAAGACTACTGACATAAATCACTTGCACTTTTGAGCTGCTAATACAGTCGTTTGTTGCAACTTTGGTAAGTATCTTGCTTTTGAAGCACAATTAAAGGGTAAATATTTGGAATGCACTATGACCAATATTTCTTTTATTAATTAATTTTTATTTCCTGTTGTAGGTTGATAAGATTATATCAGGAACCATAGATGAAACAAATGGGACAGTTCATTCAATCTATCATTCTGTTCTGGAAGGCCTTATTGACTATGAAACCGGAATTCAGCTGTTTGAAATGCAGCTAATTGTTTCTAGATTGGTTTGTCCATACACAAAGACATCCTTTGATGTTGAAGAAGCCAAGGCTCACAGACTCATTGATGCACAAATTCAAACACGATTACAGGACATAGTAGATGCTAAAGTTATTATTTCAAGTCTCTCATCAAATGAGTTTCCAGTAATATCTGCCATTGAACAGGGGTTAATATCAGAGACAGTAGCAATTAAGGTAATCAGCACATTACTTTCTTGTGGGTGCCTACAAGTTCCTACGACTGGAGAGCAACTCAATGTAAACAAACTTTTCCAACGAAATATGATCTCCCCATTGATGTTTACAAAACTTCTGGAAAGACAGAAGACAGGTAAGGATCTAATTGATCCTATTACTGCAGAGAAGGTTACTCTAGCAGAACTCTTCCAGAGAACTGTCATAGATAAGACAACAGGAATGAGATTTCTTCCAGTAAATGCAGAAGAAAAAAGTAAAGTCACATTAAAATCTGGAAGGAAAGTCAATGTTCTAAGAGCAGCTCATGAAGGAATCATAGAACGGGAAGTCATGTATAGATTGTTGGGAGCTCAGCTTCTTTCAGGAGGTATTATTGACCCTGATTCTGGCAAAAGATTGACACTGGAGGAATCTCGAGAGCAGGGTATAATTGACCAGGCAACAATATGTGGAATATTAACTCAACAGATTCAAAATGGGGGAATAGTTTGCCCATCAACAAAAAAATATTTAACTGTGGATGAAGCTGTGCAGTGCGACTTAATCTCACACAGTAGTGCACTGATGGTTCTAGAAGCACAAAGAGGATTTATTGGATTGATTTGGCCTGATACAAGTGAGATATTTCCTATATCCACATCTTTGCAACAAGGAATGGTTTCAAATGAACTAGCACAAAAGATTTTAAGCAACAGACAGAAAATCGCTGGATTATATATACCAGAAACATCTGAGATCGTGAGATTGGATGTGGCTGTTCAACTTGGTATCATAGAAAATAACACTGCAGCAGTTCTCAGCAACCTGGAATTACAGGACAAAATGCCAAATATAGATGTTCTTGAACCTACATGCAAACCTAAATGGATGTCATGTTATGATTCTCAGACAAGTCAGCTGAATGAAAATTCTGAAAATAAATCAGAGGAACAACTGACACACAATCCTGAACATACAAAACAGTTGTTCATTTCCTATCTCATGATAAATAGCTATATTGATGCCAATACAGGAGAAAGACTTTTGTTGTTTGATGGTGATCTTGATGAAGCTGCCAGCATGTTGCTAGAGTCTGAACATATAGTGCGGTCATCAATAGAACAGAATGGAGACCCCACTGATCTCTGCAAAACAGATTTGGCTGTAAAAGAGATAGATGTCAGTGACAATATGAACAACACTTGCGTTGATATTAATGTTACAACTCATTTAAAATCAAATTTTGAGGAACTAGTGAGCAAGAAAAATGGTACAGACCAATCTGAACCTCAGAATTCGGACAACGTTGATAAAGTAGCTGAAGGCATGATAGACCAACTGTTCATAAAGACTGAGCCAGATGATACATTTAAGGAGCTTGATTCACAATGCCTTCCTAATGTAAGTGGAGTAAATGAAGATATAATAATGTGTACTGCAAAAGATACCCAAGAAAACATAACTGATGTTCAACCCAGCAACCAAAATAATCATTCTGCTGAGTATAACTGTGGCAAAGAGGCATTTGAAGAGGACCATAAAGACAGCACCAGCGAAAAACTAGTTTTGTCCAAAATTAGTCATTTTAGGGATGAACTAGAGAATAATGACCCTTCTATGCAAGAACAATTAGGTTCTTCTGATACAGTAGATCAGTTGTTTACGCTGGTTGATGACTGTAATAAGAGTGAAAAAGAAGAGCAGCAATTTCAAAGTAGCTGTTTTAATGACAATATCCCTCTGCCTTATGCAGGTTGTGATATTTCCTCTGATCTTCTGCGTGAGGAAGAGGAATGTAGCGATTACTCTAATGATTCTGAAATAAAAACACATAGATATCTGGGAAGCAGCAGTGATTCTGAAATATCTGTGGGAGATGATGACAGTGAATTTGATGTTAGTAATGGGTCTCAGGCACTTAAAACATGGAAAACCATTGGAGGAGAAGACAGCGTAGAGGACAGGACACCTACACAAAGTGATACAAGCTCAGATGATGATACTTTCTATTACAGTGACAATGAGATTGAAAGCACTGACATGGTACATGGAAGACAGTTCCTAGAAACAATAACTGAAGAAGATTCAGAATGTAACTCGTGTGTAGAAGACCAGACTGTAGACCATAAAGTTGTTTTGCCTCTTAAGGAAACAGACTCTACACTTGAAGAGGAAGAGGTGTTGGAGAGCAGCAGATTAAACAATTGTAAAGATAATATATCCCATAGCCCTCATAATGTTTCTGTAGTAATCCGGGATGAAGAAATAGATGATGAATATACTGAAAGTTTTTTCAGTGAAACTGATGTTGAATGTTTTGTTACTGATGAAACCAACAGTGAAGAGGACTATCATGCTACCGAGGAGCATTCAGATTTTTGTGTTGAAGATAAAGAAATTAATGAAGCTCCTAGTCAATTTAACTTAAACACTCATTGTAGAGATGTTGATCCTCAGAAAAATAATAGTTTAAGTGGAAATTCTTGCTCAGTTAGTACTCATGACAACACATGCATCTCCAACATTCTGAGTGAATCAAAACATCCACTAGATGATTTCATAAATGCAGATATATTAGAAACTAAAAAATGTGACTGTTCTATCAATATTACAGAGCCTCAATCTCAAGGTAAGAGTACTTGTGCCAATCAATACCTCAAATATATGGATGAAAATGTAAAACAGAATCCCACTTGCCTCCTAGCATCAGATAATTGTTCATCTGCCAGGGTTGATAATCAACATTCTCAAGCTGAAGATAATGAACTGAGTCATAGTGAAGAGGATAGAGCAACAGTCAAACAAACTACTGGAACTGTTGAAACTCAAGTTGATGGTATTTGTGTAGAAATCTTACAAGAAAGCCTTTCAGCTAAGGGAGATGGTACATGTACCGAATTAGTAAATGGTTCTCACCAACCTGATGATGGTTCTGTAATTAGTGACTTTTATAATGGCCTGTTACCTGATGATACATGTGTCAAGTGCGATACTAAACATATGGAAAATGACTGTAAGCTGAATAGTGAATGTCTTCAATCTGAGGTTAGTATTGTGTGTGCTAAGCAGGATACTGAACACTCACAAGTTGAAAATAATCCAATTTTCAGTCAAGATACTCAGTGCCAGACAGTTAATTTCAGCAAAGCGCAAATGGATGGCCAATATTTTTACATGGATTCTAGCAAATCTGCTAGCTCTACTCTTGTAGTATCTCATAAAGAGACTGAAAAGCATATAGTAAACTTACACAGACAGAACATTTCAGATTTGCCAGATAGCAAGTCGATCCAGAAAGAGAATGATGAAGGTGCAAATGATGGTTCACTTGAGCCAATTAATGACACAGAAGTATGCACAATTACAGATATGCTGGAGAAAAATGTGACCAAATGGAAAGAGAATGCTACCCAACTTTCAGTCAAAAGTCCTATTCATATTGACAATCTGAGTACAATATTTGATTCATCAGTTACTAAAACCCACATTGATGATCTGGAACCCAATATTGCCAAATCGGTGCCTGGAAGTGTTAAACCATTTAATGCACCTCAGCCTGACACTGAAAAGGGTATAGCCTCAGGGAGTTTAACAACATACCTGAAAAGTTGTGCAGAAATTGTCCAAACTGAGGAATCTTCTGCTGAGCATACCTACTCCTCCCTGAAACCAGTTGGAGGCTTACTAGAGCAGAGTTGTTTAATAGATGAAAAAAATGCATCCATCATAGTTCCGAAGGATAATAACAGTGTACTTTTGAGAAATGAAAAATTATTAGTTCAATTAAATAACTCATCAAAAAATAATGAAGGGGCAAATGAAGCTCCTGTCCAAACAAATGGCAGTGAACCCATCGCACATATTTGTAAGGATTTTAACACACCAACATGTGAGGCCAAAAACCAAAAGATTGATATGTTATATAACAATTCTTTTGGTGAGCAGCAAGTGATAGAACCGAATCATCC